TGACCACCCCCTAACACCATCAGCTCCCACCATCTCCATCTGCCAGACAAGACGCCTCCTGTCTGTCTCCCATCTTCAGGCCTTTTCCATGCTGGAGTTTCTCCTACCTTGAATGATCTCCATTCATATCTCTTCTGCCCTTCCCCCAATAAAAATAAATAAGCCTTCTATTCCAGGAGCTGCTGGGAAGTCCCCGGTCTAGGGCAGTGTTTTTCAAAGTGTGAGTAGTGGACTCAACCTGCATGAGGCTTGCTAAAATGTGAATGCCTCCCCCGTGACCTAGTAGGACAGAAACTCCAGGGAGGGCTCCAGGAATCACTTTCTAACAAGCTCCCCAGGTGATTCTGATACACACAAAGCATAAAACTCAACGATTTTGTCTTGAGTCCTTGCTGAGTGCCAAAGTCCAGCTAGGGATAGGCCTGGAAAACTCATGAAATAACCTCAACTCCCCATATGTCTCCAGCAGGAGTGCTCAGGAGAGCTGAATTCTAGTCTTGATCTTATACTAAGCTGTGTTGCCTTAGGCAAGTCACTCTCCCTCTCTGGGCCTGGGTTTTCTCATCTGCAAGTGGAAGGGCCAGGACTTGGGGGTCTCTGGGGCCATCCTACTCTGACATGCTTGGGAATCTACTTGGGACAGGCTCTTTGTAGGGCCCCCACGGTGGGAAAGAATGAAGAGCTGTTGGGGGTGAGCCCAGATGTCCCATCTCTGCCTAGGCAGACAGCTGATAGTTGCCACTAACATTCAGAGGGGCACAGAGCTCTCAGGCCGGACAGGGGCCAAGCTCAGTATCCAAGTGGCCTGGCCTCATGGGGGACTGTGAGGAGCCAAACATGTGTCTAGGCCATCGCAGTCAGGCCAGGGGCAGGCTGGTGCTGACTCCTGGGGAGAGAAGTGAGCACAGAGAGTGTGTCTGAACGTTGCGGCCCCAGCCCAGTTGACTGGATCAGAACCAGATTCTAGAGCCCACAGGAACATGGGAGAACAAATGGAAACACCCAGGCATGGGGGAGGGCTGCAACTTGAAGGGGTCCCCCACAGAATATCTTCATTGCACAGCTCCAGGGGGTGCCATCTTACAGAATACAATGTGCATGGTGCCCCCTAGAGTTGTGCCACGGGGAGCGACATGCTGGAACTAGGCACCCAGGGCGCCCCCAGGTACCCTGGCTCCTGAATTTAGGGAAGCGGGATGAGCTCTGGGCCCATTCACTACTCTGGCCAGCTGGGGAGCAGCCAGCAGTGGCGGGGAAGGCTTCTCCACCCCTCCTGGTAGGGAACCGGAGGCCTGAGCTAAGCCTGAGGATGGTAACATAGGCTGGGCGTGGGGCAGGGGGAGCAGCAACAGGCTGAACAGGAACTTTCCTCAGATCTGCTCCCACTAATTACAGGCAGCCCCACTCACTTTGCCCGAGGGAGCCAGACTACCCAGCCCCTTCCCCATGACTCAGGAGCACTGCCAAGAGGAGGGAAGGGCACAGGGAAGGTTCCAGGCTATTCAAAGGACTGGCCAACGGAGCCCAGGAGACTGGCATTGGGTGGAGAAAGAACTTCAAGAGCCACTGAAATTTGGAGGGTTGCTGTCCAGAGCACAGATTCCGAAAGCAAAGTAGATTTCATGCTGTGCTGCACAGCAATGTCTGCATTAGTGATTAACTTAACCCTGAAACACCCTGGGAGGGGATTACTACCATTATCCCCTTCAGGCCCAAAGCAGTGGACTTAGGAGGTCACAGGGCTAATGAGGGCCTGGGTGAGGCCCCCACGACCACCGGGATGAAATCGCCAGAAACGGCTGGGCTCTGGTGCAGTACAACAGGGTTCAGCCCCCAGAAGACTGGGGAGCAGTAGGTAACAGGAGTAGGGGTTTATAAGAGGCCAAGAGATCCTTCTATCCAAAGGGACAGCAGCTCCTCACTGTCCCGGACTCAGTCCTTCCCTGAGGTCCACCCCTGAGGATCTCTGATTCCCCCAGAGCCCCAGGTGGAAGCTGTTGTTTCTTCTCTTTTCAACCCTTTAAAAACGTTGTAGATTCAGAGAGGGACCAAATCCCAACCTCTGTGCTCCGTGAGCTTCACCCAACTAAACATTAAGGGATCCCTGCGTGACGGACAGCTACTCACTCACAAGCTTTCAAATTCTCTTTATTAAAAATCTTTTTTTTTTCCCTTTCATAAAAACAAGCACTTGAGGTCAGTTATACAGATCAGGAAAAATGCTGACAATTTATAGGACACTCAACTGATTCTAATACTTTACCAGTTCAAACTTCAATTAACTAGTGTTTTTCTTTTTCTCATAAGCTCAAAAAACAAACTCTGGTCCGGTTCAAGTATAATCTAACAGGCCACAGCCGCGGGCTGTCCAAGGAAGGGAAACCCTGATACTCACACCAACATCACATTTACCAAATTCTTTGGGAATTATTGTCTGGATATACTTTATTTCGGGTGTTTACCACGAAAGGAAAATCACACAGGCCTTTGGTGATATTAACCCAGGGAACAGATGACTCCTGCTCAAGGCAGCAGCTGCTCTTGAACCTTTTCGGGGAGACACTTTGAAATGGCTGACAAACACTGAAAAAAAGCTTTAAAAAATAAATCAATATTTTCCCGGTTGCCTTTAATACTGTGGTGTGTGTGACACATGTAGGAATAAAGAGAGCAAATTATAGAGTGGGTGGAGGGCCATGCCAATGGAGCTGTATAAAAATAAATAAAAATAAATATATATATATGTACACACAAATACAGACTCTTCCATGATTTCTTTAACTGAAGGTTCTGACTGAATGCAGAGCGCCCTCTCCCCTCTCCCTCCCAAGGGCTCTCTCCAGCTTCCCCATATGGAGAGGGTCAGTCTGTCAGCCAGGGAGCCCTTACGTGACTCAGGACTCAGGAGCTCAGGACTCAGGAGCGAGGCTGCTTGAGCAGCCACCCGATTGCCATGGAAACGCTGCTGGGAGATGAGCTGGGGGTCGGCTTCCACTTTGCTGGGGGAGGAAGCTGCCAGCCTCTGAAATGCACAGTTCTAGCCTCTGAGGAGGCAGGAGGCTGTTCCCAGCAAGGTTTGGCCAGGAGGCCAGAGAGCTGGCGCTGGACTTCTCTCCCATGTGCAGACAGACACACCGGGACAAAGGTTTTCCGAGAAACGGAGGAGGCTGGTTTCCAGAACATCAGGTGAAAGAACAAACGAACCTGTGGAGGCAGCCGGGGGACCAGGTCTGGGCTGAGCCACCGTCTTCGAACCCTACCCTGAGACGCCAGCCTTTCTGAGGCCCCCAGGTGGCCTGGGGCCAAATCCAGGTGTCCTGCTTCCCGAGGCCTCCTCTCACCACACCTGTCCAAGCTGATCTGTTCCCGTGGTGCCATAACCCTTCTCTCGCGCAGGTCCCCAGCAGGGCTCGCCCTGACCGCGACCATCTGCCCCAGGGTTCGCACGTGATCATTTTGTTTGTGTTCTACATTCCTCTCCTTTCTGTGCCTCAGTTCCCTCACTGATAAAAAGCCAGTGTCGACCTCAGATAGTCTCTCTACCCTTCTGCCATTAGTGTGGAGGGCAGAATATGCAGTATAGTGTTATCTACCTTAAAAAGAAAAATGCAAAAATAATCATAATTAAATAAATAAATAAAAAATAAACTAAAAAAAGAAAAATGCAACCTCCCCCCGATATCAGCCTCTTCCTAGTCTACCTGCCGGTGGTCAGGGACTATCTTCCAGGGGCTGAGCCAGGGAGGCTGCCTCCAGGGGGGTATCTCAGCTGTGGGAACAGCACCAGGCTCCCCTCTGACCTTCTCGAGGTCTTCTCCAGGGTGACAGCCGAGCCTCATTTCCCCCAACACCTTTGTCCCAAAGCTTCCAATGGAACATAACACTAGAGATCTGCACCCGGTCCAGGTCCTGAAGGCACTGCCCTCCGGTGTCAGACACCCGATGGGGGTAAGGGTTCTGTTCCTCACAGCAAATGACATCAAAGTCTGCACACGGGGTCAACTCTGAGACGCCCTGACCTTCTTCCAAATTGGAAAGGGCTACCTACAAGCACAGGCAATCCTCAAATGCTCTTCGGTCCTGCAGCCTTCTTTCCTTAGCTTCTCCCCCCACTGAGCCACCATTTAAAACCATCCCACAGGGAGGCTGCTGGAGCCCAGAGGGCAGGCACCAAGGGCGAGCCAAGGAGAGATGCCATTTACTTGGCATCTCTGGGTGTCACCCGTGGCAGGGAGGCCAACATTCAACCTGTGTTCTAATCAACTGCTGTTTGAGCTGGAGGGAGAGGATGCTTCCGTTTTCATTTTTAATTATAGTGAATCTATATGAAATGCACTGCCCAGAACAGAACAAATCCTGGCATCTCCTGAAATCAAGTGGAGGGAAATCAGTTTCAGGGGAAATTATCAGAGCTTCCAAAATGAAGGGCTCATTTCTTCCCCCGTAAAATTCATTTAATTTTACTTTAAGGCATGAACCCGGTAGATGTCTAGAATCACTGAGAGGGTGAAAGAGTTACGCATAAAATCAGGGGCTTTTCAAACAGGGGGTCCAGCTGGAAGAGCTCTCAGCTTCTGCCAGCGGACTGTCAAAGGTGCCCCTCTGGGCACTGCAGGACCCCACCCAGATCCCCGCATGGGACACTGGGCAGAGGAACTGTCCCAGGTTCACCGAAGTGGCTCTTGCCCCAGAAGTTTCCGTGAAATCTTTTCCTTGGATGCCTCAGCCTCGCCTGACCTGTCCAATCCCATCAAGAATCTGAACACTGAAAATCCCTGAGAAGTTGGATTTTATGAAAAGGAAACAACCCTTGGCACAGAAGGGGGGGGGG